TTTTTTTTTTTTTTTTTTCCCCCCCCCCGAGCCCCCCAGTCTACCAAGGTGGTCTAGACAGGCTGTCGTAAACTCCGAGAGTGGGTGGGAAATCCACGGGCAACCGGACGGGACCCGGCCCCCCCCAAAAAAATCAACGGACGAGCGAAGCTAGAGGCTAAGACGACAGCACCGAGGGTGACAAGTGGCGCTCGATTATCGACTCGCGGTAATAAGATAATGAAATGATGGGTCTTGCGCCACTACTCTCGACATGCACAAAAGACAAAAGATAAGATATGGCAGTGTGTCCATGTTGTAGCGGAAGATTCATTTTCATTTTGCTCATTTGATGAGTACTGCAGCGAGGACCAATGGTGAGATGGAAGAGCAAGGTCACGTGGGGGGGGGGAAGAAGATTCGTTGAATTCTCTCGACGAACGTAGGCAAACACGTGTCATTCCCTTTCCCTAATTAGGTGTTAGCCTGCATGGTACTGCAACCGCTATTCACCGTAGCTCATGCATCGTCGCCATAGCTCGTGCTGCGGTAAAGCTGCTTCGTCTTCCTCTCGATTCCCCATAGCTCGTGCTTCGTTCGGTAAAGCTGCTTCGTCTCATGCACATGGGCTTACGTCGTGCATGGCCATAGCCTACGTCGTGCATGGCCATAGCCCGGATGTGAGAGGGTCGATCCAAGACCGTAGATTGTCTTTTGTCTTCTCTGCTCATCCACGTGGCGAAGTCTGAAAGCGTCTGGGAGTTCGTTCGATTCTTTTTTTGGCAACCTATAAAAGTTGCTTCTTGCGGAAGACACGTGGCAGCCGCTGTGGGCAGACACGTGGCAGCCGCTCAAGTCAAGACACGTGGGGAACAGGTGCCAGCAGCTCTGGGCGGATACGTGACAGCCGGCCTTGCCGGACTCTTGGCATCCAAGCCGCGCTGGGCAGAGTCACGTGGCAGCAGTCGCCTTGTGAAGACACGTGGCAGCCGCTTTGGCAGACGCGTGGCAGTTTTGTCGTTTTGTGCAGACACGGAGGAGGTGTGTCGTTTCGTTTCGAGAAGGCATGTAGCAGTTTTGTCGTTTTGGACAGACACGTGGTCGCCGCCGTGGGTAGACACGTGGAAGCCGATCTTGGCGGAGACTTGCGATCCGAGCCGCGCTGGGCAGAGTCGCGCGGCAGTCGTCTTTTTGGACCCAGAAATGCGGCAGCCGTTCCAGAGAGACACGTGGCAGCCGGCAGATACATGCTGAGCAGACCCTTACACTTGCCAGGAAGACACGTGGCAGCCGTTCCGGAAAAAGACACGTGGCAGCCGTTCCGGAAAGACACGTGGCAGCCGCGCTCGGGGGCTTGAAAAATGTTGGATGTTTGTTACGTACAGTATCTTTTGTTTGCTCTGGGTGGTGATATGTAGAGCGAGGGCATCAACGGTCTGGATTGCTTATGGTAGGTGCTAAAAACTAACAGACACACTTCGTCGATCGACCTGGTGATCTGACGGCCACTATTGGGAGGTAGAGAAGTTGTGGATAAGATCTGGATCTCTCTTTTTGCGTGTATTTTGCGGAGAAGGTCTGATTGCCTTAAAAAAAAAAAAAATTGCTTAAGGTTTCTGGATACGGATGCCGTTAGGTGTTATACATAAGAGTTTTGGATGAGTTTGCGATAGGACGACAATTAGGTGAAGATTGGACAATCGGATCTTTTTGTATAAGTTTTGAATAGGACGATTTGATGGATAACGTGTGGATAAGGTTGCGGATATGATGATAAAATGATGAGATATTTATAGATAAATAGAGCGATGAGATTAAGAACGGATAAAAAAAGACATCTCCTAGATTAAGGTACAAATTTAGACAACGATTAAAAAAAAAAAGATTGGATGAGAATAAGATAAGATTGGATAAGAAGAGTGGATAAAAGATAAGAGTAGATAAAAGATAAGATTGGAGAACATTGGATAAGATCAGTTTTTTGGATAGGAAGATTTGATGGATAAGGTTGGATAAATTTTTGGATAAGGTAGTAATAAGATATTTTAGAATAAATATAATAAATATATATATATATATATGTTTGTGACGATATATATGATATATATACAGCCCTATACAGCCCCTCGTTTGTTGTCCTCTTCTCTCTCTCTGCCTACGGTTTACCGGGCAGTTCTGTTTGTGACGATATATAAATATAAATAGGGCGATTTTTTAATAGTGAGAGAGAGAGGGTGGAGAAGTTTGGGTGATAACAACGGATCAAATAAAGTTTTCTTGGATAAGGTAGCAATTATTACTAGTATTATATTAAGCTAAAGATAAAAAATTGGGCAAGATAAGATAAAAGATTGGACAAGATACGATAAGATAAGACAAGGCAGGATCGGATAAGATAAGGGAAGATAAGATTGGATAACATAACGTAAGATAAGATTGGATTTTGGGTAAGATAAGGGAAGATAAGATTGGATAAGAAAAGATAAGATAAGATAGGATTTGGATAAGATTATATAGGCAGAGGAGGCGATGGCGACGACGGCCGTACAAGCGAGCGCTGGCATCAGCGGTGGTCATTTGCTCGGGGCCAATCCCGTTTCCCGGTCGTCTGAGGCGATGGGGGTGTTGGCGTCATCATCAGCCGTGTGTAATCGTCGGTGCTTGGGATGCGGCCACGTGTCGCCGCTGGCACCTTCCTCCTGGAGTCATCAGCGGCAGGATCATCATCGTGACACGTGGCGAAGATGCTGTGGCCGACGGTCGTCAGGCGGCAGGTCCACGTCAGCAACGTCGGCGCCTGAGGTCGGTATCTGTTCGACGTCTCGACAGCGGCCCGGGCGGCGGCAGTCGTTCGCGGGCCCAGACTCCGCGCGCTTCGGCGGAGCGCATTTGCGTCCAAATGCAAAGGCACCGGAACCTGGGGCGGTTGTCAATGCCACCAGTCAGCGTCAGAGGGAGTTGTCGTCAACGGATATGACGATCGACCTGAAGCAATGGATGGAAGAAAATGGGCTACCTCCTAGCAAGGTGACGCTGGCAGATAGGCCATGCTTTGCACGAGGACAGAAGCCTATTCATCACGTGGTCGCCAGCGAAGACCTGCAAGTCAGTACTTATCATCTCGTAGATCCTTGCGTCTCGTCTTTTGTGTCACTTCTCTCTTCCCATTCTCTCTCCTCTCTCCCTCTCTCTCCTCTCTCTCTCTCTCTCTCTCCCTTTCTCTCCCTTTCTCTCTCCCTCTCTTCCCTCTCTTTCGGTGATGTACCTTCTCTCCCTCTCTCTCCCTCTCTCTCCCTCTCTCGCTCTCTCTCCCTCTCTCTCCCTCTCTCTCCCTCTCCCTTCCTCTCTCTTGCTCTCCCTTTCTCTCCCCCTCCCTCCCCCTCTCTCTGCCTCGCTCTCCCTCTCTCTCCCTCTTTCTCCCTCTCCTTCCCTCTCTCTGCCTCGCTCTCCCTCTCTCTCCCTCTGTCTCCCTCTCTCTCTCTCTCTCCCTCTTTCTCTCTCCCTCTCTGCCCCCTCTTCTGGTGATGTACATTGCGTTTTTTGTGGCTGAGAAGAAAAGGAGAAAAGGAATTTGTCCTACCCTCCGGCTTAACAGCAAGATAAGAGGAGAAGCAGACGGAAACGAAAGCGAGAGGGCAAGGGAAGAAGAAGGCGAAGAAGAAGAAGAATAGCGACCAGCAGCGGCCAAAGCTGCCTTCCGCACACGCATTTCAAGAAGAAAAAGGAGGAGAAGAAGAAGGAGAAGAAAACAAGAAGAAGAAGAAGAAAAGTGTGATAAACAGATGCCAACTCTGTCTTACGTACATCCTTCTGCAGAATTGCAATGCACTCCGCATGCACTGAATTTAGAAGAAATGCGCACATTGCCCACGAAGAAGAAGCTGAAGAACAGTGGCAATTGCTAATTAGTCCCCAATGGTGCTTCCGCTCACGTTTCACAGAGGAAACAAAAGCACTCAGCCACGTGCACATTCCCCAACAAGAAGAAGAAGAAGTGAAGTGAAACTTACTCCAGACAGCAATCTGTCCGTCCGCACCGATCCAAGGATCGAACACGTGACCTCCACGTCAAGAGGCAAACACTCAACCAAACGGCTAAGTGGACTGGGGTGAAAGTTAAGCCCCAAGATGAGTACTTAACCCCACCCCAGCACGGGTACTCGTTTTTCCCCGCGACCCGGTGAAGAAGAAGAAGAAGAAGAAGAAGAAGAAGAAGAAGAAGAAGAAGAAGAAGAAGAAGAAGAAGAAGGAGGAGGAGGAGGAGGAGGAGAAGAAGAAGAAGAATTGAATTGAATTGAATCCTACGTGCACGAGCCGATGCCAGAAACCGAACACGGGACCGCCCAAATGGGAGTTGGACGCTCAACCAAACGGCTAAGCTGACTGGGATGAAAGTTAAGCCCCAAGCCCAGCACGGAACAAGAAGACGAAGAGGAAGAAGAAGAAGAAGAAGAAGAAGAAGAAGAAGAAGAAGAAGAGGAGGAGGAGGAAGAATAGTGAAGAAGAAGAAAAAGAGGAATAGTGAAAACGGAGGCCACCCGTCTTGCGTCACACGCTCCACAATATGTCCATCACAAATCCAATCCGCCTACCGTAGACTTGTCTCAGAGAACGCGCACGTTCCCCGACGCGCCGTTTCGATCGGCTGCTGCCCTCTGATCATCCTCAGGGGGCTTTCCGCACTACCATGCCTTGCCTTGTGGTCCCCACCTACTGATCTCCCAATCAACTCAACTGAGCTGAGTATGGAGGACCGCAACGGCCTTGCCCTCCTCAACTACTACGTAATACTATAACCCACCGTCGTGCCATTACCACCGTCTTCCCCGGAACACGACGCACCCTTATTTTGACTGCATCGGGCCGGAAACATAGCTTGTATACGTTCATTTTCAGGAGGCGTTATGTTGGTCAAATTGAAGTTGGACGTTTTTAGTTGGATGGGCGAAGTTGGGAAGGGCAGCAATTGGGGGAGTGAATAGTGATAGCTTGGCAGAGAGAAGGGCGTTTTCTTTTTGGTGGGAATTGGTGCCGCCAGGCGACATGGATAAAAAAATAAGTAGGGACTCTTTGGGACAGCCGAAGTGGAGAGAGGGGCAAGCAAGCAATTGGGACTATGGTAGCCATAGCCTGACTGAGGCAAAATTAAGTGGGGACTTTTTGGGACCGCGAAATGGAGAGAGGGGAAAGCAAGCAATTGGGACTATGGTAGCCATAGCCTGACTGGGACAAAATTAAGTGGGACTTTTTGGGAGGGGGTAAGTGGAGAGAGGGGCAAACAAGCAATTGGGACTGTGGTAGCCATAGCTTGACTGGGACAGAATTAAGGAGGACTTTTTGGGAGGGGGTAAGTGGAGAGAGGGGCAAGCAAGCAATTGGGACTGTGGTAGCCATAGCCTGACTGGGACAAAATTAAGT